CACGGTAGTAACACTACTGGAAGCTGTCATACCACAGATAATTCCTGGGTGACATTATAGCATTTTCTAAGTAAGGGATCATGAGTGAATACGTTTCTAGCAGTAATTAAATGCATTATGGCAAACTCCTTACCTAAATTATAGTGCTTGCTACAGCAAGGTGCTGAAATCACTGCACTTCTCCAAATTCAATGGTTCCTGTAAAGGGATGAGAGCCCCATAGCATAGGGAGTAAAGACTCCATTGCCAGAAATAAAGAACCACCAAGATGGAGAAAAGATATGTTTCTTGCTCTGTATCTTTTGAGATTATGATAAATAACCAAATATGCAACAGTGCACAAACTGCTACAACACAGGTTAGTCTAATCTATCTTGTTATTAAAAAATATCCAACATTCAGTTGGGAAGGCACACAATCTCCTTTTACAATTCTTGGCCTCATTTAAAAAAGGGTTCCTGTACAGAGATAAATATACCCTTAGCTGGAAGGGAACAAAACCACACCACTTAGAATGCATTTTTTTTAGTCAAAATGGTTCATCACAACTCAAATTTACAAAATTATGTACACCCTGAAAGAATATCATATCTACAGAGGACAATAACTGATACAATGGGAAGAAAGAGAAGGTGGCATTATGTGTATTTGGTTCTTGTCTTTTGATGGTGGGAGCAGCGTTGCCAGATAACCATTTGTATCTGCTTCTGACATCTGGGAAACCAGTTTAGGCATAGTAACATTCACCTCTTTGCAGAGGGCCTGTAAGCTGTAAATTCCACCAATCTCAACTTAGGAGAGAAAAAATAAAGAGACTTGTTTAGTGACATCTCTAAGAACTTTTGAGTGATATTTCAAGATTTGGAACAAGGGAGCCTAATTCAGCCACTGTACATAGTTCTTTGGTGAAAGGCTGATCAGGAGCCTAAATAGAGGAAGAAACATCAACAGAGTGTGATGGTTACAACACAGGTCTGGGAGCCAGGAGTGATAATAACCTGGGTGCCAGCAACAATAATATCCTGTTTTGCCGTTAACTCAGAACTGTGGCTTATATTATGTATTTGTAAAAAATGGAATGGATTTTTGTCAATGACCTACTGGGCAAGTCCCATTTAGCCTTCTGTGAGACAGTGCAAAGACACCGCTTGCAATTCCACTAAACAATGCATCTGGCCCAACATATCTAAATTGCTTTACAAGTATTTAGTAATATTTAATCAACAGTCCTCACTGCTACATTTCTGGTTGGACTGCTCAGAGCCCAATATCTCCGTTTTCTGTTCAGAGAAGCCAGTGATGTATGTTAAAGCTTTTTGGTGCTTTCTATTACATCATCTCATTTTTAAAATGACTTGTACTTGTAGAAATACACCCAATTTCTGACTCCCTTGATATTACAGTGATTGGCACTATGCAGATACCCTTATCAGATATGTAGAATGCTCATTTACTTGCAAGTTTCAGACCTCTAACTGAACTGGACTAGTTTTCCCAAGGTCAGGTTTCAATTTGGAGGAAATAACCTTTATGTCAACAATAATTATCTAAAAATATTATATTGACTTCCTTTCTGCAGGCTTATCACTTCCATTATTCCTGTTTTATGCCAATGTGCACTAGCATAAAGCTGGAGTAAAGCAATGGTGTGTCAGGTTCTGTATGAACAAACAGAAGTGACAATTATTTTTTAGAGCTGATTTCCCTCTGGATAGGAGAATGAACTGCCTTCTTTTCTGAATGTCAACTACAGCCGCAGGAATTTAAAGCTGCAGCAATAGGGACAGTTTAGCTTCCTTTCTTCCACATTCATTACCTGTGCATAAAAGCTGCTTTTTCATAATGAAGTTCTGCTTCATTTCCAGTTTACAAATGTCAGACAGAAATATTCCAAGAATGAGAACAGAAAATAGAACAGAAGTAAATACTGGGCCATATTCATACTCTGCGCAGCTCTGCTGTGCCTTTGTTTTTATGCACAAACTTAAATTTCAACCAGTGAAAACCATGAATAATAATGGGAAACATTTGATAGAATAACTAGTATTCTACATGACATTGAAAACATTTAGTATGCAATTTAAGTTATATTTCCAAGGATACCAGAAAGATATCCAACATTATGAAATCCAGTATATGTATGCGCACTCATTATATAAAGATATGTGTGTGCATGCAAGCATACACATATGAATTATAGATGATGCTGACACACATCTATTATTAAGGCTGTCCAACTCTTTCCCTAACAAGACCTTGGGAAGTTGGGTCTATAACTTTTCCCATTCAGACTAGGTGCCTGCCTCAGGCTGAATAGTTTTGGAAAGTTTCAGCTAAAAACAGTTTAGCTGTTTCTTAGAACAAGGTTATAGAAAGATGGTGTTCTACCGTATTAAAAAAAATTCTTACTGCCATTTTGTTGACTAATCTCAGCTCCTTTAGGTAAGGGGAAGGAGTTGCTTTTGAGCAAGGGGAGCTTGGCATTAGGGGAGCTTGGCAACTTGGACTTCCTGATGTTTCACAGTTGGTAGGGTTGGAAGGGACCTGAGCAGATCATCAAGTCCGAACCCCTGTCATGGAAGGAAAAAGTACTGGGGTCAAACGACCCCAGCAAGGTGATTGTCTAGCCTCCTTTTAAGGACCCCCAGGGTAGGAGCCAGCACCACTTTGCTTGGAAGTTGGTTCCAGGTCCCAGCTGCCCGGAGAGTGAAGTAGCGCCTCCTGATGTCTAGTCTGAATCTACCCTCTGCCAGCTTGTGACCGTTATTTCTAGTCACTCCTGGGAGTGCTTGGGGGACCAGGGACTCCCCCACCGCCTGCTGGTCCCCTCTGACTAGTTTGTAACAGCCACTAGATCCCCTTTCAGCCTTCTCTTGTGGAGGTTGAACAGGTTCAGGTCTCATAGCCTCTCCTCATAGGGCCTGCCCTGCTGACCCCTGATCATGCAAGT